TTTTTATTAAATAAAAAAATTAGTTTGCAGAGCATTAACTAATAAAAAGTGAAAGAATCGAACAAGTTAACATTAAAATTGAATATAAAAAAGGTTAAGGTAAAAATAGGAGAGGATAACTTTTGCAGCTTAAGCATGTATTTTATACTTAATCCGTACTTATTATTGATATAATCACTCTTTAAATTAAAAATTTTAAGTTCTTACAAATTTAACCTAAAATTATCAGTTCTTACAAATTTAACTTAAAATTATCAGTTGTGGTTAGCCCTTTGCATAGTAATTCGGGCCGGTGTCAGGGACTGGTTTTTGAGTTCTATAAAGAGCTTTTCCGCAGACCTCCAATTCCAATTTCCTAACCATTTCCATTTGTTTGTAAAGAGGGAAAAAAACAAAAATGAATTCTGTTGAAACCACAAAACCGCATGCGGTATGTGTCCCATTTCCAGCACAAGGCCATGTTACCCCCATGATGCAACTAGCCAAGCTACTACACTCTAGAGGCTTCTACATAACCTTCGTCAACACCGAGTTCAACCATCGCCGCTTTATCCGCTCCAGAGGTACGGACGCCGTCCATGGCCTGCCAGATTTCCGCTTCGAAACCATTCCCGACGGGTTACCACCCTCTGATTGCGATGCAACGCAGGACGTTTCACCACTCTGCGACTCCACCAGAAAGAATTGTCTAGCACCATTCTTGGAGCTACTTGGTAAGCTGAAGTCACAAGTACCGCCGGTAACCTGCGTAGTCTCCGATGGAACTATGGGCTTCGGTGTTAGGGCTGCTGAAGTACTGGATATACCGGCCGTTCAGCTTTGGACTGCCTCAGCTTGTGGCTTCATAGGGTATTTGCAATTCAGCGAATTGTCTAAAAGAGGCATTGTTCCATTCAAAGGTACCTTTTGCTTTTCTACTTTTGAATTTAAGAAGCATTCTCTGAAGTTTAAACTAATTTTCACTAATGAAGACTTTAATACAAGTTTTGCCCAAAAACACCTTCACTATAAGTCAAAATGCTCTAATAAACCCTTTGATGTGTGGAAAGGAGCCCTGAAAATGATGTTAAAAATGTAAGTTTGAGTTCTTTTATTTATGAGGAAGGTATTTAGGCTTATTGATCAAATATTTAAACATAAAAAGCTTTTTCACCCTTGAAGAGGCTTCGAACTTGTGTAATGCCCTCCCCACTTTTTGTTAAATCACTTGTCTTGTCTTAAAAAAAAATAAAAGTTATTCTACTGCTATGTGAATTTCAAACAATTTTAATAGGTTACATTTGCCATTCTTAACGGTGGAGCCTTAGGTTTAAGTTCCAACTCATACTGTCACATTTTTCTAGTAATTTACCTAGTACTCATTTGGTGTTCTTTAGATGAAAGTTATCTGATTGATGGTACTCTTGAAACCCCATTGGACTGGGTTCCTGGAATGAGTAACGTGAGGATCAGGGATATTCCAAGCTTTATCAGAACCACCAATCCTGACGACATAATGCTCAATTTCTTGGGACCAGAGGCCCAGAATTGCTTGAAATCACCAGCGATTGCCTTCAACACATTTGATGAGTTTGAACACGAAGTCTTGGAGGCGATTGTAGCAAAATCTCCTCCTATTTACACAATTGGACCACTTTCCCTCTTATCTAGGCACGTCCCTGAAACTAAATTCAAGTCAATCAAGTCTAGCTTATGGAAGGAGGATTTCGACTGCATCAATTGGCTAAATGGAAAACCAGAGAATTCTGTTGTGTATGTGAATTACGGTAGCATAACAGTGATGAGCAAGGAGCATTTGCTGGAATTTGCGTGGGGGCTTGCAAGTTGCGAATACCACTTTCTCTGGATTGTCCGGCCTGATGTTGTGATGGGATTAGATTCGGCGATTCTGCCTGAGGAATTCTATGACGAGATTAAGGACAGGGGAATGATAACAAGTTGGTGCCCACAAGATCAAGTGCTTCGTCACCCAGCAGTTGGGGTTTTCCTGACGCATTGTGGGTGGAATTCTACAGTGGAGACGATCTGTGCAGGCGTGCCGGTGATTTGCTGGCCGTTCTTCGCTGAGCAACAGACGAATTGTCGGTACGCTTGCACCACATGGGGTATTGGCGTGGAGGTTGATCCAGATGTGAAGCGGAGTAACATTAAGGTTCTTGTGAAGGAGATGATGGAAGGAGATAAAGGAAAGCAGAGGAGGGAAAAAGCTTTGGAATGGAAAAAGAAGGCAGAAGCAGCTACTGATATAGGAGGATCTTCTTATCAAAATTTTGATCGATTTATTAAAGAAGCTCTCCTCATGGGGAAATGAAAAACATACCATGTTTCCTTTTTTTTTTTTTTTT